GTGACATCTAATATAGCTGTGTTTATATTGTTGCCAATAAAATGACTTACATGATTGGTTTTTGTTTATACAATCTTTTCTGAGGAGTCAGTCACCTGTGTTAGGACAAGGTACATTCTGCTTATTAAAATGAACTCCTGGGATCTAAGAACATTCAGCTCTATCTGTCCTTGATTGAATTGTAAAATGTGCTTTACACTGCAGCCGTGCATGAGAATAACTTATATTATCTATCAATAGGCTTTTCATTTCTATATTCTTCTGCCTACAAAGCTGTAACTAGAGAAACCCATGGGAATAGCATGTGCCTATTAGTGATCAAGGCAGTGATGTTGAAAAGGCAACGTTAATGAAATTATACAATCATTAACCCGAAAGGGAAAAATAAAAAGAATCAATAAAAACTCTATTTTAGATGGTTTATATGTATATATAAGAAGTCAGCCCGGGGTGATTTGTTTGCTGACCAGTGTTTTGTGTCTCATTATCAGTTTTTCTGTTCAGGGTAAGAAATGCTTGTGGCATAAAAGGAATGGAAAATGTAACAAAGGCTAAATGTAGCCCAAGGAAATGAAATGATGTATGAAAATTAATAATTAACTGGCTCATCAGATGAATTATGACTCTAGATGAGTCTATTAATAATATTAAGTAAGAAAGGGCTTTTGGATGTAAATAGACATTATGGAACTCATGTTTTTGGAATTTTCTTGAAGAGATGAGTTAACATTGCTTTCTTTAATCTTTTAACCTACAAGGCATAGCACCTCGAGTGTTGGGTAGAAGGTAGAAGTATGATCTTGTACTTTGATTAAAGTCATAGCTTTTCTAGAAATCTATTGAAATTATCAGTAAATGATTTTGTGCCTTGGTTTCCTTAGGAGTTAAGTAATTTCCTCTCTGATCTGACTTACAACAGTGTGTTTTAAGAGTTTTAATGTGGTCGAAAGGAAAGATTTATTAACTTGTGTTGACTCATAGCAGAATGAGTAAACATTTTCATTGTTTTAACCAATGGAGTATTAAAAATCTACATGTGTTAAGATGTCATATCCAAAGTACACCAAATTTATCCTTCTGGATGTTCCTTGCTTTTTCTGTTTCTACTTTTTTTTTTCTGATGATTCCTGGGTTAGTCATTGAATGGAGGACAGAAGAGAAAGTAATGCTGGAGAATGTAAATTTTTAAAAAGAAAAACGCTGTTCCAGTGGAATCCCACCAGTCAGGTTTTGATAGTGATTAGTTGTGATTTTACTTTCTGGCAAAGTATAGGAAATTTTAACTCAGATGTTCATTTTTCAGGGTGAATGTTTTCTTTCAGCACACTGCTGATGTGAAAGCCTCCTATCAGCTTTTGTTTTGATGGAGTTGGTAGAGAGTGCTGTTCTTTTTTTGCTTTCATATCCACCCAGTCCCTTTGATTTAAGTGTTGCAGACATTAAATCTACATATTTGGGCTTCCCTGGTAACTCAGGGTAAAGAATTTGCTTGCCAATGCAGTGGACATGGGTTTGATCCCTGGTCTGGGAAGATCCCACATGCCTCAGGGTAACTAAGCCTGTGGGCAACAACTACTGGCCCATGATCCAGAGCCTGAGAGCTGCAACTACTGAAGCCCATGAGGCCTAGAGGCCCTGCTCTGCAGAGAAGCCACCACAATGAGAAGCCCCCACTCACTGCAACTAGAAAAAGCTCGAGCAATAACCAACACCCAACACAGCCAAAAACAAACATGTTTTAAAAAACTACACATTTATCCTTCATTATAGTTAATGAGTACTTTCTATAACCTTCCTTTTATTAATTAGCCGAAAAGACAAAATTTCAAGTGATTATCACCAAATTCTTCATCTTTTGTGGATGAAAAACTATCCAGAGAAGTTATAAATGGTTTGCCACAAGTAAAACTCGGGTCTCCTAAATTCTCGTTGGGAACGCTGTTCACTCTGACTCAGTGAGGATGGGTCTTTCTTACAAGTTAGTTATTTATTCATTTTTTGTTACCAAGTAGGCTCAAAAGTACACATGATCATACGACCTAGCCAAAAAGCACATAAAATATTATATAATGTGAAAAAACAAATTGATTTTTAAGTTCTGGTATCTAATGTTTGAAAAATCTGCTTGTATAATTAATGTGAAAGCTGGATTATTTGGCATATTTTTCACGCAGTGTATTTTATTTTTGTCTTGAGGCTGGTTTTTCTCAGCTCACACAACATTGACTTATTGGTTTTTCTTTATGGTATTAATCACTTTACTTTCTGGTTGTTGCTTTTTTAGTAATAAAATTTAAGTACATTTTTTGTTGTTGTTTTTACTTTCACTCTAAAGCTATTTAAAACAGGAGTGTGATTTATAAAAAATAAAAATAAAATAAATATTCAAGCAAGTTTGAGTTCTTATAGCTAAGTTCTTAGTGCTTTAATTATTTTTCCTTTTACAAACTCACCTTCTTAATGGTCTAGTACTTACTTACATGTTTTTATCCATATTTTTGATGAGAATTCCTGCTTGTATATGATCTTACTGCCAGAACCAACTCCTTTATTTTTAAAAACCTGGAAATGGGCACAGTCTGCAAATCTGCAGACACTTGTCACTTGGACCATGGTCTTAGTGACTCATATTTCCAGTCATGTTGTATAATTCTTCATTTTCAACAAATTGCCAATACAGTATATTTATTTTGCCTTTTTTTTTTTTGATTGGTTCTGAATAAGTGCTTTCTTGTGCAGGGTTCAAAGTGCTTCAGAAAACACTATTTTATCAATGAGTGGAGAATAGATGGCGAATATCATCTGGCAAAGCACAGAGACATTAAGTGACTCTTGCCCACAATCAACCAATGAATCAACAGACCGGTTGGTAATACACTTGAGTTCTTCTAAATGGGTGCAGCAGAAAAGGCATTGGGATTTTTCCAGCATTAAAAAAAAAAACTTACAATCAGTCTGATAAAGGGTTATTTCTTATTGTTTCATAAACAAGCTTAAATGTTGCAGGTTTGAATAATCTGCATTGCATTTATTTGTCCCTTCTTGGCTACTGTAGTGGAGGGAAAGATAGGAATGAGACCTAGGATTGTTTCTGAGGACTAGATGGCATGTCAGTATTAAATGTGGCAGACTGATAGAATTATTAGTAGAATGGAGACTTGATGAAGTTAAAGAAAGCGTTCTAGATTTATATTGTTGGTAACCTTAGAAGTTCCTCAATACATGGACATATACAGTAAGCTTTGCAGAAGGCACAGTGAGTGCTTGGCTTGAAAATTAACTACTACAGATTTCCTCTGCTATCTGAAAGTAGAGTGGTCATAGGAAATCTTTCATCAGCTGAAATGGCATAAAGTTAAGAAGCAATTACCTTAGGATACATGTTGCTAAGGGATGTACAAAAAAATTGAGGAGCTTGATGGTGCCAATCTCACTGCTTGGGATGAGGACAGTCTCTGTAATAGCCCCCTGCAGAACAAATGCTGAATGATGTTTTTGTTTTTCATTTTTTTTTTCTCAAGAGTGAAAATCCCTCCTCAAAGTTCTTTTGGTTACTAAAAACAGTAACTTAGATAAGTATTCTGAAAGTGAAATGGCATAAAGTGAACTTTTGAAAAGCAAGGGATACCTGTATTTCTGATTTTCTAAAATGATAAAGAAAAAAGGAAACCTCCTTATAAAAATTTACCATGGTTTGATATCCTGTGCTCGATGACTTATGGAACATTCTTTTGGGAGTTGAGTTGGAAATGTTCATCTAAGACATTGAGTAGATCATAGAAAAAAGGAGGACTCACACAGTTGAGGATATCTGGCCATTACTACTTTGCACCCAGTCTGTATTTCTTGTTTGTCCACCGTTGGCTTCTTTCCATGACTGTCATGTTTACTAAAAAGAATTCAAATTGTGACTGAGTCTGTCATTTATTTGTAGTAGTGGCACTTAGTCCTGGCATGACATACACTTTGGCGAACTATAGATCAAGGGAGGAAAAAGCCTTTCTTAATGATTTGTAACCAGGGAATACTGACACACAGATGGATGATGATGTCCTGTGGCCACATCATTACTTTTGGTTCTCCCTCTGCCACTTGAGAAAGGGGGTGGTAGGATGGCAGATGGAAGCTTCGTGGAATTACTGTCAGTTTACCGTGCGTGGTACATGGTGAACATACTCACCTCAAGAAAGGTTGTTTTGTCCTTATGCTCTCTGTAAAGCATTACACACAGCCTTATCCTTTTCTAGGATCTTGCTGAAAGGTGAGAGTATTGTGATGTTGATTATATTTTCATCCCCATAACTCAGGATCAATATAGAACTAAGACTCTAATGCTGCTGTAAATATTTAGATATATGGATATATGAAACCTTTATGAAATTCCCATGCCTATTTTTAAAACTCTTTTGTTAATCTAGGGACCATGAAAAAATTGCCTGTGACTGTCCTCACTGTCTCATTTTAGAGGTTATATCATCTTTCTGTTTGTTTACTGGAACCTTTGAGCAGTAGTCTAATAGCTCATGAAGGTGATGCATTTGGGTTTCCCAGGATGCACCGTAGCAAATGTGAACTATTACAGACAGATCCTCTATGGAGCAAAGTAAGTTTCATTTTGCAAGCTGGCACCAGTAGATTGGTTATAGTTGCCAAGAGCACTGTATTGAGAATGGTTCAGTGGCAAACAAAACGAAACAATGCAGTGATCCATAATCCATGTCTACCATGAATGCAGGAGGGGAGAGTGCCTGCCAATGAACCATGTATTCGATAAGCATGTTCTACATAAAAGACCGTTTTGCTGAGTGCTTCCTGATATGAATGCTACACAGGTTGAAAACTCATTGTTACTTATTTTCCTTTTTACTTTTAAAAATGCCTGCATTTATTTTTTTAAACAGGCTAATAAACCACACCATGGATAACTTATTGGACTTTGCCTGAAAGGAATCATTAGTGTCATTGGATATTTGACCAACCTGGCTACAGGTTTTTTCAGAATGAATGGAAGGTCATGCAGCATGAATCTCCACCGGACATCAGGAACCCCACAGGGGCCTGGGATGGTCAGTGGCCAACACATCCCTCCCATTCAAGCCCATTCGGGGACTCCTGGCCCCTCATCCTGTGGCAGCACAGCAAGCTCTGCCATTGGAAGCCTTGCTGACAGCCTCCATCTCAAGATGCCCTCAGGAGGAGGGATGGCTCCTCAGAGCAACATGAATGAGAGCCCCATCCATCTGCCTGCCTTGAGCCCCAGGAGACAAGTGCTCACCAGTGGGAAGCCACGTTTCCAGGTCACCCAGGCTGGAGGCGTGTCAGGGCCACACACATTAAAGCCAAAGCAGCAGGAGTTTGGAAGCCCCTTTCCTCCAAATTCTGGGAAAGGTAGGATTATCTTTCTGGGATCTTTTAAAAGTGGACACTGTTGTTTTTTTCTTCCTCGTCTCTGCTCTGCAAGCAAATCCTATGGAAAAATACATGATTCAGTGTCAGGGTCAAAGTCTCATAATGATATGTAGCTTCCTAGGAAAGGATGTAGATGTGTACATTTGTGTGAGGACGAGGGCACCACAGTGGTAAATGTATTGTTTCATGGACTGTGAAACAGGGTTGAAGATGAGATTGGAGACAGGGAAGTAGCATAAGTGTCACAGAGGAAAACAAGAGCATGTTTAGGAAGATCCTGCCCTCTGGATGCACAGAGCTCTATCTTGTCTTACCAGGATCTGGATTCTGCAGACCATGGAGGAGATGGGTGACTACAGCTGTCATTATGATGTTAGTTGGATGCTAGAATAAAGGTGATGTTTGGAAGGAAAAGGATTTAAAGTGAGAAATTTTAATATCCAATAAAATGAGGAACAAGTACATAAAATGATAAAAAACTATTCTAAGAGCAAAACCTATAATCTTTATTACATAGCTAGTGACAATAGAGAAAGCAGCTAGAAGAATATAATGAAAAGATGTATTTTTGTGCTTGTGGAAAACTAGAAAAACTTGCCAATTTGAGAGAAATGAGGGCAGAGAGAATGCTTCCAATTCAGTAGGCTTTGAATTACCTTTTTTTTTTAACCTTAGATTTTGAATTAAGAATAATTGTTGGAGAATACCAAATTATTTGAATGACTTGCTCTGTCTAGAAACTGGTGTTGAGTTAATGAGGTTGTATTGCTAATGATATGTGTATCTGGGCTAGAAAAAGGAGCATGTATCCTATGTAAAACATAGCTTTGTTATATAGAATAGCATGATTATATATTCCTCTAGGTATTTTTACCATTTAGTTTTTCTTTTTTTTCTTTCTTTTTTTTTTTTTTTACCATTCAGTTTTAAATGCCTATACTCAGTGTGTTTATGTGTGTGCATTCTCAGTCATGTCTTACTCTTCCCAACCCTATGGACTGTAGCTTTCCAGGCTCCTCTGTCCATGGGATTTTCCAAGAAAGAATACTGGAGTGGATTTCCATTTCCTCCTCCAAGTGTTTATACCACTAAATAAAATTACTAGCAGCCTTGTAAGTAAGTGGCTATTCACCTAGTTATCTCATAACTTCGCCAATTATGATGAATAATGATTTATATCAGGCAGGTAACCCAAAAGTTGTTTGTTTAAGTGTCTGTGTATTTCTCAGTATGGAGAAGTTGATATAAATGGGTAGATTAAAAAAACCCTAAACATATGTGTAACTTTTTTCTTTTCTGTTTTACTTCTTTATTTTCATCTAGGTTTGTTTTGAATTGTTTTATTTCTCAGAGCTAACTGCTATCTAGTGTAAGTACAGGAAAATTTTCCCTGGGGGCTGCATCCAAAATAGCTCTGTCATTGTCAGATTGCTGTGTTCATGACATGGCAAGCTAAGTTTCTTAATGTCAGGCTCATGTGTTTGTATTTTCAGGGGTTGAGGCCCAGTACAATCTTTCAGCTCATGCTTGACTAGTGAACTGTAGCTTGCTTTTATATATATTTGTGTTTGAAATCCTGACTTGCAGGAAATCGTGGTGATAATATTAATAACTTGTACTTATTATATAATAACTTAGCAAGTGTTAGGCGTTATGTTAAGTGCTTTCCAATACATAGTCTCAGTTATTCCTCACAACAGTCCTGAGTTGTATGCTATTGTTGAATAACTGACAAAGGAATTAAAGTCTAGAAAAAAAATAAGTAACTTAAGCCTTGTCAGGCAATAAGGAGTTTGGGAATATTACTTTGATAGTGACTGGAAGTGTTTATAATTATAATCATAGTTTATAAAAAAATGCTTCAGGTACTTAAGGAATAACAAACTCTCAGGGTCAGTTCATCATGGGACTCATGTAAAAATTAGCACTGCTTCCTGATTCTCTTCTTTTGAGCCATTAGGGAGTTTAGAATTCAGAAAAATAAATGAACAGTTAAAATAAAGCATGGTTGAGACTCTGGTAGATATACACTCAGGGTGAGAGGGCAACATTTGAAGGGGTTCCCAGTCTGAGCTTGATAGGTGGATCTGGGAGAAGAGTAGGGTATCTAGACAGATACCTAAAGAATGAAGGGCTAACTTTACAATCACAGAAGAGTATGTCCTCTGTGTGTGTTTGTGTGTGTGTGTGTGTGCGCGCGTTCATGCACATGCCTGTGAAGGGGCAGGGACTATCTGGAATTTGCTCTGGGTAGAGAGGAAAGCATGCTCAAAACCTGGAGGGGAGAGACCATAGTCCATTTCATGGACTTCTATCTGGTTTCACTTTGAGGGGAGGTGTGGAGACCTGAGTAAGAGATGAGGCTGGAAAAGAATAAGCAGTAACCAGGTGAAGGGTCATGAGTGACATACTAAGGAGTTTGGATCTATCTTGAGGGCACTGGTAATCTGTGGAAGGATTTAACCTCGGGGTTGATGTGATAAGCTTGAGACTGACATCGCTCCCTGATTTTGCCACTGCTTTCCCATGCACTGTTGACAATATCATGATCCAGAAGGATAAGTGCCAAAGAACTTGTGACTCTGTGGGTGTATTAGAGTTTCTCAGACACAGAACCAATAGGAGGTATATCTATATATCTTTCTATATATTGCCAATAGAATAAGTTACCTAGGGATTTTCATACAGACAAACATCTGACTTGAAGACTCAAAAATTTCCAGTGGGAACCTCAGGAGAAATATAAATTTGATTGTAATGTTTATGTTACTTAAGGATTGAGTTCTGTTCCTATGAAAACTCAAATAACCATGGATTTAACATCATAGAGTGTGGTTCCCGAATGGTGTGCCAAGTGCTCTGGGGTGCCACAGAAGACTCGGAGAGAGCTATGAAATATTTTAAATTTTGAAGGAAACATCGGATATGTGACACCCCTGCAGGCAAACTGCTAGTTTGAAGAGGTTCACAGTTTCAATATTAGATTACGGTGTGTTCTTTTTGATGATACTGTAACTTTGAGAAACTACATAATTGGTAATTGTGACTAAGAAAAGCAAGTAGTTTGTATATCCATGTTCAGAGCAACATTCTTCACAATAGCCAAAGGTAGAAGTAACCCAGGTGTCCATCATTGTAAATGAGTGGGTAAACAAAATGTGTCATATCTATCAGTTCAGTTTAATCTCTCAGTCATGTCTGACTCTTTGCGACCCTATGGACTGCAACATATATAGTCATATTATACAATGGAATATTTTTCAGTCTTCAAATGGAAGGAAATATGACATATGCTATAGTATGGATAAACCTTGACATTATGCTAAAGAAATATGCCTGACAGAGAAGCACAAATATTGTATGATTCTTCTTATAAGAGGTTCCTACAATAATTAAATTCATAGAGACAGAAAGTAGTGGTTACTGTGGATTAGGGAAGGAGAGAATGAGGAGTTATTAATTAATGGGTACAGGGTTTCAGTTTGGAAAGTTGAAAAAGTTCTGGAGATGGGTGTTGGTGATGCTTGTACAACAGTGTGAATATAGTTAAAGCCACTAAACTGTACACTTAAAAATGGTTAAAATGGGACATTTTATGTTACATATATTTTACCACAATAACAAAAGCAAGTGCTAAATGAAAATCAGTGTGGAATAAGAGGTGAAGGTGGTGATGTCCAATCTGATTCCAAGATTTGAGAAGTATAGAAGGCATGATTGAAATGTCCATCCCATTAATAATTGTGGTTATTTAAAAATGAAATAAAAATGATTTTAAAAATTTGTTATTTTTTTCAAACAGATAATAACTTATTAGTACATAAATACTATTAAGTTATTGATACCTAACTACTTAATAAACAGAACTGTTAGATGTTCCTTTTGGCCTAGGGGCACCATGAAAAATTTACTGAGACACTAAGAATTCCATGCACTGGGAGCATTTGGGAACCTGTGTCACAGGAGTTCATTTTTCTCACAGAGAGAGCAGTTAAGGGTGGGTGACTGCTGTTAATGGTTACAAGCTCAAGGAAGACAGGCCCATGATCATGGCTGTTTTTGTCAGAAAAGACAAAAGGTTCTACTCCCTTGGAATCTACCTCCTTTCATTGGCTTTTCCAGAAGCTGCATTCAACTACTTCCACTTGTAGATAACTAATCTCTCAAATAAAACTTATTCTTCATTCCTGAATAGTTTTCTTTAAAAGTTGGATTTTTTTTTAAATTTCATTTTGTATTACCTTCTATTGTATTTTACTTTTTGGCATTTGCCATCTTTATCTCTAAAGTAAACTGAAATACTTGGAAGTAAGTTGCTGACCTTGTGACCCTTTACCCCCAAATTCCTAAGCAGGTATCTTTCATGCTATATACCTAAAATACATTAATGATAACCAAGAAATTTAACTTTGATATGACAGTATTACTTATAAACAGTTATATCTTAAAATATAGTTCACATTCAAATTCATTATGTATTTTATTTTACTTAATCATGATTTATAATATAAGGTATTATTTCCCCCCCTTATAATCCAGTGTTATTTGTAGCCATTTATTTATTTTTTTTTGGTATTCCCATTTTATTTTATTTTATTTTTTCAATTATTTTTATTAGTTGGAGGCTAATTACTTCACAACATTTCAGTGGGTTTTGTCATACATTGACATGAATCAGCCATGGAGTTACTATTTGTAGCCATTTAAAAAAAAATCTAGGATCTAATAAAAGATCATTCACTGCATTTGGGTTATGTTTGGTTGTTATGTTTCTTTGGTGTCCTTTAATCTAGAATGACCTACTCTCCCTGACTTTTTTGTGTTTTTCATGACAAAAATGTGTTAATAGTTTTTAAAAGTTCAGGTCAGCTGTCTTGTCTCACAACCTGATCAGTCCAGTCATTTTGTCATAATTGGGTTGAGGTTAAACATTTTTGGCAAGAACACTACATAGGTGATTTGTGTACCACCCATTGTGT